GCCTGCATCACAGTGCCCTGCAGTAAAAGTTAATTTACCTGTTTTGACATCTCGGGGCGTCGGTTGCTAGAGGCATGCCCTCGGAGACAGAGGAGCTGTGGGAGGAAGTTTTGACCTGCTCCAGGAAGGTCTGCCTTTGCGCCCTGTTGTGTCCTTGTATCTCTGACTTTTCATTTCTTTTATCTCGTTTCTCACAACAGTCCTGGGAAGTAGGGGAACAGATTATTAACTTTTTTGTATATGAACACACCGAGGCCACATTGTTTGGCCTCTCCAAACCTTCCTCATCTGTTAAAAAAAAAAGTGAGAAGCAGGGCAAGATCCTTACGGCAGCAGAGTTTTTTTTTAAATTAATTTTTTAAAAGATTTTATTTATTTATATGATAGAGAGCACACAAGCAGGGGGAACAGCAGAGGGAGAGGGAGAAACAGGCTCTCTGCCGAGCAGAGAGCTTGATGCAGGGCTTGATCCCAGGACCCTGGGATCATGACCTGAGCTGAAGGCAGATGCTTAACTGACTGAGCCACCCAGGCACCCCTTTTTAAATTTTTTTTTTTAAGATTTTATTTATTTATTTGACAGAGAGTGAGCACACAAGCAGGGGGAACAGTGCAGGGAGAGGGAGAAACAGGAGCAGCAGAGTTTTTGAAGTTCCCCAAGTCACTCATAAAAATGGACTGAATCCCTAGGATAGCAGGAGAAACATCCCACTGGATAGTATCTTCAACAAAGCCAAAGTCAGGGTACCCCCACAACCAGAAGAGGTAAGGTCAAAGCACCGTGGGGCTTCAGCAGCTGTTCCAAAATAGTGAGAATCCTGGAACCCAGAACACAGAAACTACCACCACATAACACAGTCCCCAGAGAAGAGAACTCCACTCTGAGTGGACTCCTCAGCAGGAAGCTGAGAACACCGTTGAAACTGAGCTAAGGTTTCATAGGCTCCTTCATAAGCTCCAGTTTGTAGGTAAATCCAAAAGATGGCAGGAAACTGAAAAAGCCAGGGCTTTTTGGAGAAGTGGCTGGTTTGTGGCAAAGCATAGTGTAGGCCTTGGACAACTTGTCTGCCAGAGAACAAGAAACTTTCAAAGACTACTAACATCATGTCATAAGGGTCCAGGCCTGATTGAAGGGTTCTCCTTTGAGTCAAACAAATTAGGTATAAAAGAAATCTATGGGACCTTTAGAGATATTCAGATTTGGACTGGATATTAGATATAAAAGAATTTGTGGAAAAAATGAAGACTAACCAAATGAGAATAAGCAAAGGCTATTTATTCAAAGCATGCTGTAGCAAGGTAGGTACCATCCCTTGCATTTTGGCAGAGACTCAAAGGCAGTGGAGTGGTAAAGCTTCAGAGCGGAAAAAAGGGAAGGCTTTGGGTATGCCCTGATTGCAGGCCATTGGGAGGGGAAACTGGAGGTAGCTAAGTAGAAGAGGGCGTCCTATATGCTTGGTTAGGGGAGTATATTTGGCATTCTCTGATTGATCCTAAATTGGAAGTGGGGACAAAACTAAGGGATACTGTCACTTATTAACCTCTGACTCTTAGGGGCTGGTTGATAGTTTGGCTGCTTGGGCTGATGGCTAGAGATGATGTTTTTATTTCTTACAAGTCAGTCTACAAGCAGGCTGGCTTCCTGGGCTAGTTATTATAAATTGTTGCTAGTTGCTATAGATTTTTTTTTTTTTAAGATTTTATTTATTTATTTGACAGAGACAAAGCGAGAGAAGGAACAAAAGCAGGGAGGGTGGGAGAGGGAGAAGCAGGCTTCCCTCGGAGCAGGGAGCCTGATGTGGGGCTCGATCCCAGGACCCTGGACCATGACCTGAGCCGAAGGCAGACGCTTAACGACTGAGCGACCCAGGCGCCCCTGTGACTATCTTTTTTTTGCTTAGTATTGTTTTCAAAGTTTATCAATTATGTAGCATATATCAATACTTTCCTTTTATTGCCAAATATCCCACTGTTTGGATATACCATACTTTTTTATCCATTTGCCAGTTGATGGACATTTGTGCCTTTCCCACTTTTGACTCTTGTGAGTAACACTGCTATGGACTCTTATGTACAAGTTTTTGTGTAGATGTACCTGGGAATGGTATCACCGAGTGATATGATAACTCATGTTTAAAGTTTTGAGGAACTGCCAAACTGTTTTCCAAAGTGGCCACACCATTTTATCATTCCACCAACAATGAATGAGGATTGTAATTCCCCACATTCTGATGGCTTCTTATCTCATTCAAAGTAAGAGCCAATGTCCTTGCAGTGGACTAAATGGACCAATATTGTATTAGTCAGGATCTTCCAGAGAAACAGAATGATAGTATATGTGTAATTAATTAATTAATTAATTGGCTCATTTGTTTATAGAGGATGAGAAGTCCCATGATCTGCCTTCTGCAAGCAGGTATAATTCAGTCTGTGTCAGAAGGCCTGAGAACCAGGGGAGCCAATGGCTGAAGGCCTGAGAAGGGAGGGGGGTGGTGTGCTGGAGGAAGTCCCAGAATCTGAAGGCCTAAGAACCAGAAGCTCCGATGTCTGAGGACAAGAGAAGATGGATGTCTCAGCTCAAGAAGAAAGAGAGAGAGAATTCATCCTTCCTCCACATTTTTGTTCAACTGGCCTCTCAGTGGATTGGATGATGTCTGTCCATATTGGTAAAGGTAGATCTTCTTTACTCAGTCTACTGATGCAAATGGTAATGTTTTCTGGAAACATTCTCACAGACACATCCAGAATTAATGTTTTACCAGCTGTCTGGGTGTCCCTTAGCCCAATCAAGTTGACATGTAAAATTAATCATCACAAACATGATCTACCCTTTACCTGTCTTTAGTGTTCTAACCCCTTGACTTTTTACTGTTCCTCAAATAAACCAAGTACACTCTGTAGGGGCTTTGCATCTGCTGTTTTATCTGCCTGAAACTAACTTCCCACAGATATACCCCTTTTTGTTACCTCACTTCCTAAAGACTTCTGCACATATGATCTCTTATCAAAGGGGCCAGTCCTTACAGCTCTAGATTAAATAAGAATCCTCTTCTCACTTCTTTACCCTGATTTTGTTGAATCTCTGTCTTCCAAATGTCCATTTGAATGTAAGATCTTTGAGGGAACAGACATTATTTGTTTGGTTCACTGTGTTAAAGAGAAATTATACTGACACCTTTTGAAACTTGCAAAGAAGACTTTATTCAAGACTTTATTGCATTGAAATATGGAAGAGAGTCTGTAACTCCCAGTACAACAGGGACAAATGGGGATTTATAGCCAACTGATAGGGTGAGGGAATAAATGGAAAAGGACTGTGAAGAAATTGGTTAGGTATCAAGATAGGGGGAGGGCAGAATAGGAATTTGGTTAGATATCAAAGGTGGGGGAGGAGGAGCTTGATTGGATTCCAGGGGTGGGGGAATTCTTTTTCTTTCCTTTTTAAAGACTTTATTTACTTGAGATAGAGTGAGTACGAGCCCAGGGACAGAGGGAGAGGGAGAAGCAGGCTCCCCACTGAGCAGGGAGCCTGACGCAGGGCTCGATCCCAGGACCCTGGCACCATGACCCCATCCGAAGGTAGACGCTTAACTGACAGAGCCACCCAGGCCCCCCTGGGTGGGGGAATTCTTGATGAACTGGCTTAGTAGGATTCTTCGATAAAATTGGACTTACTACGCCAAAGACAAGGTCTTATAGAAGAGGATTCAGAGGATCCTGACCAAAGTTTGGTTAAGGAGGGAGTCCTTGTCAAGTGCTCTGTCCTTAGCATCTAGAATAGTGAGTGGCATTTAGCAGGGCACTTGTTAATCACTGTTAATTTGGTAAATAAATGCCCCGTTCTGAGAAATGGTCTTCCAAATAAAAAGTCCTAATTGAACAAAAGAGATACACTTTCCTTACTAAGCTATCCAATTCCTGGAGTTTATAAGTAGTACTTTCTTTTTTTCTTAGAAAATAACACATTTAAAAAAATGGATTCAATCTTGTTCCATCTTCTATGTCAGCAAGTAGGAAATTGATTAGTGTTTTGGGTGTTCTACTTTTCTAACATGCTTTTTCTTTGCTTAAAATCAAAATGGGATTGCTTGGAAACAAATAAGCAAATGAATCAATCATAAAGAGCTGTCCCAAAGTAACATAAAACATGTCTCATAGATTTGCATGTTTCTAGCATTGGGTGCCAGTCTTGGCTGCATATTAGAATCACGTGGGAGGTTTAAAAAAATCCCGATGCCAGGACTACCCAGAGCATTACTCCAGAATCTCTGAAGCTGGGACCAAGGCCCCACTGCTTTTCAAAGCACCCCAAGTGATCCTGAGAAAGGCATAGGATGGAGACGCTGAGACCCTGGACGGAATCCCAGACTACATTTCCCAGAGGCCCCGCGGCCGCTTCCGTTTCCGGCCCTGCCCGCCTTCGCGTGCATAGAGCGAGGTTCCTGGAAGCTCGCGGGTCTCCGCGACCAGTATCGCCCTGGGTGGTCGCAGTTTTACCGCGCGCTCAGCCTCGCGGCCCAGCCCGCCCAGCTTGGTCCTGGAACGCTGCCGCCGGGCTGGGGCCCTGAGACCTGGTGCACCCCTCTTTTCTTCAGGGAGCCGGCCTTGGAAGTTGCCGGCTGAGGAGGGGACGGGCAAATGTGGCCGGGGCCCCACCCCGAGGAGCGGTGCCCTGTCGAGTGACCGCCCGAATCTGGCGCCTGACCGGAAGTTTAAAGGCTTGCGCTGAGGCCCAGAGATCGAGTCACCTACGAGACTTTCCACCCGTGTTGGCGAAGATGCCTGACTGACTCACACCGAGAGCTTGGCCTGGAGCTTGCTGCCGGGCCAGATTCCAGGCAGCCGGCCCTGACATTAACCACCTTAACGTGTCCACCCACCTTCGTGGGGAGTGGGGAGGGTGGAGGACTGGTCTTGTCCAGCTTGCAGAGAGCAAGTTCTAGCTAGTTTAGGACATGGAGGGACTTCCTCATATTTCCTTTCTTTTTTCCCAGATTGGCTTATTCAGGATTCTTTGCCCTTGCCTGGGAGAACAGTTCATGAGACAGATGGCCCCAAGACTACCAAGACCCCAAATCGAGGCAAGTTTGACTTCAACTTTTCCCGAGAAATGGCCACTGTTTCAAAGTGAAGTTGGGTTTATGCTTCTTGCCTGGAAGATGCTCTGCCCGGTGTATGGACCAAATTAGGTTGCCTGAGCCTATCCTGGATTGGCGCAGTTTTACAGAGAAAGGAGCCCTCTCCCCACTGTTGTCCCTTCATTTCCTCTGTACCCATTACAGAGTTGTTCACTAAATAGATTTTTGCTACCCATGCTTTCTAGAGTGCTAGAAGCTGAAGAATACTTTGTAGGTAAAGTATAGCTGTTGCCTGAGAGGGGTTGCCAACTCACAGAAGATGAAAAGCAGACTCATAACGACAGAGGCTGAAGTGTCAGTGAATGATACACATGATATAGTGATGGTAGTGCTTTTTTTTTTGATGGTAGTGCTTTTGATATTCAGGGGTCAGAGGAATCTAAAGGGTGGATGGGTGGTCGTGGTGGTGGTAATCCTTTTAGTTCTTCCTGAAGATTAAATGAAGCTTGCATAATTGCTGAAGATGGGGTGACTAGGGGAAGGCTAGGACACGAGTGAAGCCATCACATCTAAACCAGGAACAAACTGGTCTCAGAGAAATTTGGAAACATTTGGGGTCTAGAATGCCAGGCTGGAGTTTGCCTTTATTCTGGAGGAAACTGGGTTTTGAAGGATTTTGAAAAGTTGACAGGAAGTAATGAGCATTTTGACAGGAAGTAATATATATTTGAGTATTACACAAATTAAGAGTACAGAGAATTTTATTTATTTATTTTAATTTTTTTTTTTAAGATTTTATTTATTTGACAGAGAGAGACACAGCGAGAGAGGGAACACAAGCAGGGGGAGTGGGAGAGGGAGAAGCAGGCTTCCCGCGGAGCAGGGAGCCCGATGTGGGGCTCGATCCCAGGACCCCGGGATCATGACCTGAGCTGAAGGCAGACGCTTACGACTGAGCCACCCAGGTGCCCCAAGAGTACAGAAAATTTTAAAAATTAAAGGTTACCTGTATTCTTATCACACTAACAAGTCAAATTATTTCATTTGAAACACTTTTGCGTATGTATTTTTTAGGTTTACCCATTTTTTTTCTTTTAATTTGTCATAGCCATTTCTTCCAATTTGCTCCATAGTCTCATTACCATTTTTTATAGTTCCTTTTTATACTGTAGTCAACCAGCCTGGTGACTTTGAACAGGTTCTTTCAACTCTCTGAGGTTTACTACCCTTAATGATAAAATAGATTTACTTTATGAATGGTCATGGTAGAAATTCAGAGAGATGATGTATAGCCTGGGGCTTAGCACTGTGCCTGTTACATATTAAGTTGCTATTGCTATGAAAGGCTATTGACAAATATATATTATTTCCCAGTAAATTCTAGGATGAAGCCAGTATCACTTTGCATGTCTTTTTGAGTTTCAGTTCTTTTGTTAATTGACAAATCCTTGAACACTTCCGAAATGTGCCAGGCAGTATTTTAGGCTGGTAAGACAGCAGTGACCCAACTGGTCCCTAATCTCCCGGAGCTCACATTATAGATGATACCAACAATAAATCTAATCTTGCTAGGAAGTGAGAAATCCTGTGAAGAAAGTAAAGTGGGTCATGGGATAGAGGGTGGTAGAGGATGGGAAAAGAGAAAAGAACTTTCTGATGAGATGACATTTAAGTAAAGACCTACAAAGTGAGAGATGTGCAAATGCCATGCCCAGAGGAGGGAGCATGATAGTGTGTTGGCATGAGGAGGGCAGTGTGGTTCAGATGAAGGGCCATGACCTCCCTTAATCCCTGGCTGGATTTTCCAGCTTCTTATCTTTTAATTTTTTGTTCCTGTGTAGCAAGTCTGATTTCTGAGCCTGTCATATATTTTCCCCCTTGATCCTTTCATTAACTGTGTTCCACTTCCCTCTGCATAAACAATCTGAAATATCAGAAGCTGGCCTTGAATGTGTTACTTTCCTTTTCTAGTGAGGACTTCCTGGTTCTCTACTTCAGGGTCAAGGGTGTAAACAGTTCCTGGATGAGCAGAATTGGGTTTGATTTTGCAGGGATCACTGACATTTGGGGATGTAGCCGTGGCCCTTACCCAGTTTGAATGGAAACACTTGGATGCCACTCAGCAAGCCCTGTACAGGGATGTGATGCTGGAAAACTATGGGAATCTGGTGTCTGTGGGTAAGGGTGTCTTTTTTTTTAAGATTTTATTTATTTGAGAGAGAGAGAGAACATGAGAGTGCATGCGAGCAGGGGAGAGGGGCAGAGGGAGAGGGAGAGGCAGACTCCCTACTGAGCAGGGAGCCTGACAGGGGGCTTGATCCCAGGACCCCAGGGTCATGACCTGAGCTGAAGGCGGATTCTGAACCAACTGAGCCACCCAGGCACCCCGTAAGGATGTTTTTTAACTCAAAATTGATTTCCTGGGCAACTGTGGGTTTTCACAGGTATATGGGGTATTTAAAAATCTTAAATGGGAGGTTTTGTTTGTTTGTTTTTAGCATGGGCTTAGAGGCTGGAGTTAATGCTCATTCTGTCCCTCAGAAAGAGTCATACAGAGTTAAGATGACAGCTTTGTGTGCAGTCTAGCCCAGTTCTCTAAATTTTTCCATGTACATGTCTATAATTACATGATTTGGACATCCTGATACCATCCTCTAGGCCTCCCTGAGATTGAAGTCTGGGATAACTGCTTTTGCTCATCACTACAGTCACATTCCTTTTCTTTCTGTACTAAATAGGACTTCTCTCTTCCAAACCCAAACTAATCACCCAGTTGGAGCAAGGGGTAGAGCCATGGATGGAAGTACAACAGATTCCATCAGATACTTGTTCTGGTGAGTGAGGTGGGAACCATTTCAAGCAGCAGCTGAACACATTGAATGGTGAGGAGAGGTTCTTGGTCAGAAGGCTCATCTTGGAGGGCCCATGTCTGGGCAGCAGGGCTGGGGCACTTGACACCAGTTTCCTCTTTTTAATGTCATTGTCGTGTCAAATGACTTGCCATTTTTCTCTTCATTCCTATGGAGAGCTGCTCCCTTGTTGAGGGCCTCAGGCACATGACCTCTTGCTCTGAAATCCTCAGTCTCTTTATGTGTTTTTTTCCCTTCCCATTTTCAGGCACTTTTCAGGCTATACTTTGTTTTTGTTTTCTGTCCCATTCTCAATTCCTTTCAAATTCTGTCATGGTTAGCTTAATAAATGACTGTATATCCCTTTCTAGTTTTAATACCCATTATCTCTAATCATATAGTGACAGTGGCAGATTCCAAGTGTAAGCATAGTTTCCTATCAGATAATTACTATTTTTGGCAAACAAACTGATGGGGAGGCATTTTCTTCCCTGTGGTCTTTTTAAATTTCTCTTCTCTGTTATCCTTTACTCTTGACTCTCATTTTTTTTTTTACATATACTTTGCATAAATTTCTGTATGTCACTTTCTTCGTGTCATAATTCATTTCAAAATCTTTAAACATGGATGTTTCTCTCACCTAAAATATTTATCCTGCCAATATTCCTTTTTTAAAAAACTCTGTCATTTTGCCTATATCATCCTCAGGGAAACTTTTATAATGGTATTTCATGGAAAATAGCAAGGATACATAATTTGTTTAACCTAGGTTTTTAGCTTTGTTTTGTTTTTTAATGCTTTTCAGTAATTCTTTTTGTTCTTACTACATTTAACTAAATTTTCCCCTAAATTTTTGTGTAGATTCTTTTTTTTTTCAAAAAGATTTTATTTATTCATTTGAGAGAGAGTGCCTGCATGAGCGTGGTGGGGGTGGGGGGTGGGGGCCGGGGAGGGGCAGAGGAAGAAGCAGACTCCCCGCTGAGCAGGAAGCCTGACTCCCGGGCTGACCCCAGGACCCTGAAATCATGACCTGAGCCCAAGGCAGATGCTTAACTGACTGAGTAATCCAGGCACCCCGGTGTAGATTCTTTATAGGGTAACAACAGTAACTCAGTCTTCCTTATTCTTTGTTCTTTCTGTTTTAATTTTGGTATTTTTTGATATAAGATGTTTAGAATTTAGATGTAGTAAAAGCTAGCAGTGTTTCCTTTGATATTTCTTCCATCCATTGGAAGGTAATACATCTTTATGCAAAGATTCCACAATAATTCCATGTTTTACACTTCCCCCTCCTTTTTTGCATATTCCACTCTATTGGTTTTTTTTTGGATCTTTCCTATTTTCATCCTCTGTATAGTTTAATTCACATGATAGCTGGTTCCCTGAAAGTTTGGCCCTTGTTTTGTTTTTGCTTATTTTTTTATTTTTTATTTATTAAAGATTTTATTTATTTATTTGACAGAGAGAGAGAAAACACAAGCAGGGGGAGATGCAGGCAGAGGGAGAGGGAGATGCAGGCTTCCCACTGAGCAGGGAGCCCATTGGGGGGCTCGATCCCAGGACCCTGAGATCAAAACCTGAGCCGAAGGCAGATGCTTAACCAACTGAGCCAGTCAGGCACCCCGGTTTTTAATGGCAGGGAGCAGGGGAGAGAAATTAGGGGGTAGTTATTTGATGATAATCTCTCTTTTATGGTAGCTTGTCCAAGTAGATTTTTGCTCTCTCTCAAAACAGTTTTGATAATTTACAATTTACTAAAAATATCCAGTAATTCAAGTTCTCAAATTATTGCTATAGTTTTGAACTAGCCTTTATGGTTCTTTTTTCTTTTTTAATTTAATTAATTTATTTATTTGAGGGCAGGGGGGGCGCGGAGCACTGGCTGGTGGGGAGGGGCAGAGGAAGAGGGAGAAACACTCCCCGATGAGCAGGGAGCCCAACATGAGACTTGATCCCAGAACCCTGGGATCATGGCCTGAGCCAAAGGCAGACGCTTAACTGACTGAGCCACCCAGGTGCCCTGCCTTTATGATTCTTTTTGATTTTTATTTGTTTATTTTTTAAAAGTTTATTTATTTATCTTTTTAAGTAATCTCTACACTCAATGCGGGGCTCAAACTCATGACCCTGAGATCAGGATCATGTAATATAAATATTTAGAGCTTTAAACTTTTGTTTGTGCAGTGTTTTGGTTGTATTCAACAGATTCTGGTATGGTTTTCTTGATTATTAGATATTTTGCAATTTGTGTTTTGATTTCTCTGATCAAGTATTAAGAGACTCATAAGCTACCCTTCCTTTTTTTCTTTCTTAAAGCCTTTTAAAAATTTAATGTATATATAGAAAAGTTGATAAGTATATATACACAGTCTGAATTAGTATTTTTAAAGCCACTACTATGTAACCAGCACTCAGGTCAAAGAAAAGAAGATTGGCAATACTACTAAATCACATGTTGATCCCTCCCAATAATTAGCCATCCTCCCTCCACACCCCTAAACTAACACTAAAGTTTATTTGGCCGCTTTAATTCATTGTCCTTGCTGTGGATCAGTGATTCTTAAAACTTTAATATGCATCAGAAAGCATGCTTAAGTACAATTACTAGATCTCACCCTCAGAGTTTTTTATTCAGTAGGTTTGGAGTGTGAACTGAAAATTTCTACCGGGTTCCCAGGTGATGCTGATGCTGATGCTGTTGGGCTGGGGACCATGCTTGGAAAACCACTGCTGGAGTATTTTATTCATTGTATGGCTATTCCATAGCTTATCTCATATATGTGGATGGATATTTGGGATATTTCCAGCTTTTGACTGTTAGAGTTGCTATGAACATTCTTATAGGTTATCTTTTGGTTCATGTGTGGATACATTTCTTTTGGACATATACCTAAGGAGTGGAATTTTTATTTTATGGGATATGCATATATCCCATAATGCCAAATACGTAATGCCAAATAGTTTTTGAAAGGTTTGTGCCATTTATATTTCTACCCTCTGTGTGAGAGTACTCATTTTTCTGTATCTATGAACACTTGATAATGCTAGTCTTTTGAAGTTTGGCATTCTTTGGGTGTGTTGTGTATCTCAATGTGGTTTTAATATCCTTATCTCTTATATATAATGAGGTTGAGGACATTTTCAAATGTTTATTGGCCATTATATATCATCTTTTTTTTTTTTTAAAGATTTTATTTATTTATTTGACAGAGAGAGACACAGCGAGAGAGGGAACACAAGCAGGGGGAGTGGGAGAGGGAGAAGCAGGCCTCCCGCTGAGCAGGGAGCCCGACGTGGGGCTCGATCCCAGGACCCTAGGATCATGACCTGAGCCGAAGGCAGACACTTAACGACTGAGCCACTCAGGCGCCCCCATTATATATCATCTTTTATGAATTATCAATTCAGACAACCCTTTGTTGATTATATATGCAGTATCACCGTTCTCTCTGTGGTTTGCTTTTGACTATTAATGGTCTTTTGATGAGTAGAAGTTCTTAATTTTAATGATCTCTAGTTTATCAATCTTTCCCTTTCTTGTCAGTGCTTTTTGTGTCCTTTTAAATAAATCTTTCCTTTCCCCACATTCATGAAAACATTCTTCTGTGTTAACTCCTAGAAGTTTTATTGTTTGTCTCTTACTTTTAGATTTATTGTCCTCTTAGAATTGATTTTTGTGCATGGGAAGAGGTAGGGTTCATGTTTAACCACCCCCCGCCCCACACCTCACAAGTGCCAGTGTAGTCTTCTCTTCCTCAATGCTCTGCAAGCCACCTTTGTTATAGAACAAGTGTCCATGTGCTTGCGTTTCTCTTCATATGACTAATTTGCCTCTACCTTCCTTTACAATCAGTATCTTAAAATTTTCCCGAGTTTAACCATTACACATTAAATGTATATCCCATCAAAGGCCATTTGAAGGATCTGGGCTGTTTCTCACCAGGCTTCATTTTCAACTTGAGTTTTCCTAAAAAAAAAAAAAATAAGTCTTAGCTCTGGTATCTGATGTATGGAATCTCTCCCCTGGTTAATAAATATAAATAATAAAATATATAAATGTAAATGTGTATGTGTGTATATAAGAAAAATTCATTCAGTAAAAGAATTGATCAGTGATTGTTTTATCATAAATTTGGCTCCATTAGTTTTTCAGAATCTACTTGTCATAATCATCTTACCTATTTTCTCTTGGGTCATAGGTGTGTACTTTGTAAAAAAGATCACAATTTGATTGGTATGTTCTTTTTAAGATATGTTAAAAAACATAGATTACAATTTTTTGGCCTGAGAACTGTTTTGGTTCCTTAAATATTTTGTCTATTTTTTTCTCTGAGACACTAAGTATTGGTTCTCTGTTAAATTCTCAGAGAAATGTTATTCTTAAGTTTTTGGAGACATTAAGGTGTTCTCAAATGTACCAGCCTATAGGAATCTGCCCTAGCAATCATGGTGTGCTTTGGGATATTTGGTTTTCTCTCCAAATTTGTGTTTATTCTCACATTCTCATCTATTTTTGGGGGGGATCTGTTTTCTGTGTTACCTTCCTAACTTGCCAACTTCTTAGATGCTCCTTGCATTCTTTAAATACAGTGTTTATTATATAACTTCCTTCCATTTCTCTAGACTTTAATCTTTATTCTTGCCATCTTTTCTTAGCAAGAATCACAAGTGGGATGAATTAATTTTACATAACCCTTAGTTGTGTAGAATAGAACATTATTTTTATCCTGTGCAGCTCTCACTTTGAGTATTTTAACGTAGAGAATGTTTGAATTAAAAAAAAATTTTTCAGTCCAGGAGTACTGGTTTGAAACAAAGATGTCCCCCCTAAAGCAACATACTTCTGAAGGATCTGATCTGGGAGAGCAAACAAAAAGTGACGTGATGGAAAGAGGCCTGGACTGGGAGGGCACAAGTTCCACAGAGAAGACACATAAATGTGAGGAATGTGGGAAAGTCTTCAAATATAATTCCTCCTTTATTAGCCACCAGAGAAATCATACTGGTGAGAAACCCCATAAATGTAATGAATGTGGCATAGCCTTTATGAGCAGTTCATCTCTTTTAAATCATCTTAAAATTCACACAGGCAAGCAGCCTTATAGATGTATTGAATGTGGGAAATTCCTTAAGAAGCACTCAACATTTGTTAATCATCAGAAAATTCATTCTAGAGAGAAACCTCATAAATGTAATGAATGTGGAAAAGCTTTTGGAAAGAACTCTATCCTTTTACGTCATCAGAGAATTCATACTGGTCAGAAACCCTACAAATGTAATGACTGTGGGAAAGCCTTTGCTCAGAATGTAGCCCTTACTCGTCATGAGAGAATACATAGCGGAGAGAAGCCTTTTAAATGTAATGTATGTGGGAAAACTTTTAGGGATAACTCAACTGTGTTGGAACATTTGAAAATCCATACTGGTGAAAAACTATATCGGTGTAATGAATGTGGAAAAACCTTTAGGAAGAGCTCAACTCTTGTTAGTCATCAAAGAATGCATACAGGAGAGAAACCCTATCACTGCAGTAAATGTGGAAAATCTTTTAGGTATAGCTCATCCTTTGCTGGACATCAAAAAACTCATAGTGGAAATAAACCCTATCAATGTAACGACTGTGGGAAAGTCTTTACAAAGAGCTCAACCCTTATTGGACATCAGAGAATTCATACTGGAGAAAAGCCCTATTACTGTAAGAAATGTGGGAAATCCTTCAGGCATAGCTCTGGCCTTGTTGAACATCAGAGAATCCATACTGGAGAAAAACCTTATGAATGTAATGTATGTGGGAAGGCTTTTCCCCAGAGTTCAGCCCTTAAACAACATAAGAAAATGCATAACGAAGAAAGAGCCATCAAATGTAGTTAGTGTGGTTGATCATGCAGAAGTAGTTTATTCCTTTTGACCATCAAAGAGGAGACACTCAACAAATCACACATTTAAGAAAAGTAGTCTGTGTGCCTCTATCCTGGAGAACTTCTCACTTGTAAGGATGTTCACTGTAGTATGGTTTGTACTAGTGAAATATTTGAAGGACCTAAATGTCTATCAATATGGAAATAGTTACTATAGAACACTATATAGGAAGTAAAAAGAATGAGGTAGAACTCTATATAGAGCCATAGAAATATCCCCATGATACCTTGTTCAAGTTAAAAAAGCAAGTTGCAGAAAATCTACATATTGTGGTCTAATTTATATTTTAAAAAATGAAGCTATTTTTATTTGTACATATATGTCCTGTGTATTCAGAAAGGGCTGGTAAAATAAAGTCCAAAAGTTGTTATCTTTGAGAAGAATGTTTTTATTGGTATGATGAAGTGAAATTTTGACTTTGGCTTTGTTTTTTGAAATATTTAATCACGTATATATTCATGTATCTTTTATAATTTAACACAGTTGTCTTTCTAAATAAGAAAATTCAGAAGCCATAAAACACACACACACACACACACACACAAAAACCAAAAACTTTTGTATGATCAGAGGCTTCATGGTGTTAAAATACAAAGAACCAGACTTGGAGAGAATAATATTACCATCATCATATTATAACAAATAATACTTAGAATATCTAAAGAGTTCATAAAGATGCATAAGAATAATATAAAAATCCCAGGGGCGCCTGGGTAGCTCAGTCGGTTAAATGTCCTACTCTTGATTTCAGCTCAGGCTGTGAGATCAAGCCTTGCCTCAGGTTCCTTGCTCAATGGGGAGTTTGCTTTAGATTCTCTCCCCTGCTCTCGCTCTTCCCCTCCCCCCTGTGCACTCACTCTCTCTAAAGTAAATAAATCTTTAAAAAAATAATATAAAAATCCCAGTGGAGAAATGGTTTGGAATATGAATATACAGTTGTCAGAAAAAACAAACACAAGTAGTCAAAAAGAGATAACCAGCTTTAGAGAAATGTGAATTAAAATGATCAAATTTTTTTTTGTCCTATTAGGCAAAAACTTATAAAAATATTTTGTGCTTTTGAAGGTGCAAGAAAATAGGCACACCTACATATCGTTGAAGGAATTGTGAATTAATGAAGTGTTTGGTGATGAGAAGCATAATTTGACTATATCGACCAATTTTTAGAAAGCTACTCTTCGACTTAACATTTCTACTTCTTAAAATCCAATAAAGAGTAAAGATCGTCTTTAGAGCACTACAGTAATGAAAAGTTGGAGTCACCGTAATATCTATCACCAGGGCAATGGTTAAATTAAGATACATGCATTTATTGGACTACCATGCAGTTATTTAATATATAACAATTACAAAGCAGTCATTCAGTTATCAATTAACATTTAAAGAGTTAATTTTTTATTTTATTTTTTAAAAAATATATTTTTTTAATTTTTATTTATTTTTATTTTTTTAAAGATTTTATTTATTTATTTGAAGAGAGAGAGAGCATGAGAGGGAGGAGGGTCCAAGGGAGAAGCAGACTCACTGCTGAGCAGGGAGCCTGATGCGGGACTCGATCCCGGGACTCCAGGATCACGACCTGAGCCGAAGGCAGTCGCTTAACCAACTGAGCCACCCAGGCGCCCCCCAAAATATATATTTTTAAAGATTTTATTTATTTATTTGAGAGACACAGCGAGAGAGGGAACACAAGCAGGGGGCGTGGGAGAGGGAGAAGGAGGCTTCCTGCAGAGCTGAGAGCCCGATACAGGGCTCGATCCCAGGACCCTGGAGATCATGACCTGAGCCAAAGGCAGATGCTTAATGACTGAGCCACCCAGGCTCCCTGAGTTAATTTTTTAAAATATTTATTTATTAGAGAGAGAGAGTGAGCATGAGTGGGGGCAGGGGCAGAGGGAGAGGGAGAAGCAGGTTCCCTTGCTGAGTGGAGCTCGATCCCAGGATCCTGAAATCATGACCTGAGCTGAAGTCAGACCTGGACTGAGCCACCTAGGTGCCCTTAATGAGTTAATTTTTTAATTAACAGGGAAAGATGTCTAAGACATTAAGTGGGAAAAGAGCCAAATTGTGTAAGGATGTAGGATCCATTTAATATAGTTTGTGCATTACTTCAATCTTTTATTATACAAATATATCACTGGTAGTTTAAAATATAAGATAAAGCAAAATTATTGATGAATTTTATGGAACAGAAAGGAACTAAACATTCAGCTTAAACTAGAAAAGGGCAAGTATTAATTAGAAGCACAGTTGGGAATATGTGTGTTATTAGTGAAAACTGGTTAAGCTTTGGACAGCAGTTTGACAACGTGAATGTAAATCTAAATGTGTGCTCCCATTGACCCAGAAAAGCCACTCCCAAATAATTCGACCAGCTTACAGAGATTATATTGCACATCATAGCATTGTTTATAATAAAGCCCTGGAAAGAGGTGGGAAAACACCTAGGATAGGAAAATGTTTAAATAAGTTATAGAACTTTCATAGACTGGTATCCCAGTTACTATTGGTACATAATAAGCCACCCAAATTTAGTTACCATTTTGTTATGCTCACAGATTTTGTATCAACAATTCAGAAAGAGCATAGCAGGAACAATTTTCTAACTGTATGATGTTTGGGTCTCAGCTGGGAAAACTCAAGGTTGGAATGGACTTAACAGTTGCATGGTTGAATCATTTGAGGCTGTCACAGTACAGTAGCCACAAGTGGCTAATGAGCAGTTAAAAAGAGGCTGTTCTGAATTGGGATGTGCTGTAAGTGTAAAACATACATTGGATTTTGAAGACAGTATGAAGAAACAAATATCTCAATTTTTTAATGTTATTACAGGTCAAAATGATATTTTGGATATATAGGTTAAATTAAATATATTAGAATTATTTAAAATGATTTTAATGTGTCTGCTAGAAAATTTAGTTACATATGAGACCCACATTTGGGGTTCACATTATATTTCCTTTGGTCAATACTGACCTGAAAGCCTGCTTACAGGTTTGGTGGTTGATGCTATTGCCCAAGACCTCAGGTAGGGCCTTCTGTACAAAGGACACTCTGGCAGGACAGCTGAAGCTGAAGTAGGCATGGACCAGGGCAGTCCTGGGTCTCTCTGTGCAGAGGGTACCCTGGCAGGACAGCTGAAGCTGAAGTGAGTACAAGCTGGGGTGTCTTGGGGTGCTCAGCATAGGGGACACCTTGGTGGGGTGGCTGGAGTCAAGGCAGGTATGGGCCAGGGGTTTCTGGGGTCTACTTGGAGGGGGTGCCCTGGCTGGGTGGCTGGAGCTGAGGTGGATCACCCGTTGGGGTTTCCCAGGGTGCTCTGTGAAGGGAGCGCCTTGGCAAGGTGATTTATTTTTGTAAATGGAAGTTTGTACCTTTTGACTCCCCATCACCCATTTAATCCCCCTTGTCATAGATTATTGTGGATTTATTTCTGGGCTCTCTTTTCTGTTCCATTGATCTCTGTGTCTGTTTTATGTCAATACATACTGCTGAGGAGGGAGCCCGATGCGGAACTCGATCCCAGGACCCTGGGATCATGAGCTGAAGGCAGCCGCTTAACTGACTGAACCACCCAGGCGTCCCTGATTACGATAGCTTTGTAATATAGTTTGAAAGCAGGGAGCATATTGTCTCCAGCTTTGGTCTTTTAAGATTGCCTTGGCTATTTGGGGTCTTTTGTGGTTCCATACAAATTTTAGGATTGTCTATTTCTTTTATTTTTTAAAAAAGATTTTATTTATTTGAGAGAGAGAGAGTGAGAGACAGCATGAACAGAGGGAATAGGGAGAAGCAGACTCTCCGCTGAGCAGGGAGCCTGATGCAGGGCTCTATCACAGGACCCTGGGATCACGACCTGAGCTGAAGGCAGACACTTAACCTACTGAGCCACCAGGGCCCCCCAGGATTGTGTATTTCTGGGGAAAATGCCGTTGGAGTTTCAACAGGGATTTCATTGAATATATAGATTGCTTTGAGTAGTGTGGACTTTTTTTTTTTAAGATTTTATTTATTCATGAGAGAGAGGCAGAGGCAGAGGGAGAAGCAGGCTCAATGTAGGACTCGATCCCAGGACCCTGGGATCACGACCTGAGCTGAAGGCAGATACTTAGCCACTCAGGTGCCCTTAGTGTGGACATTTTAACAATATTAATTCTTCCATCTATGAGCACAGAATATCTTTCCATTTATTTGTCTTATTCGATTTCTTTCATCAATGTCTTATAGTTTTTAGTGTACAGGTCTTCCACCTTCTTTGTTAAATTTATTTCTAGATATTTTATTCTTTTTGATGCAATTGTAAGTGGATTGTTTTCTCAATTTCTCTTTCTGATAGTTTGTTATTGGTGTACAGAAATGGAACAGATTTTGTATATTTATTTTCTACCCTCAACTTGACTGAATTCATTTATTAGTTTTAACAGTTTTTTGGTGATGTCTTTGGATTTTTTTTTTTGGAAAGATTTTATTTATTTATTTGGCAGAGAGAGACACAGCAAAAGAGGGAACACGAGCAGGGGGAGTGGGAGAGGGAGAAGCAGGCTTCCCGCGTAGCAGGGAGCCTGATGTGGGGCTCGATCCCAGGACCCTGGGATCATGACCTGAGCTGAAGGCAGACGCTTAGCAACTGAGCCACCCAGGCGCCCATCTTTGGGTTTTCTTTTCTTTTTTCAGAGAGAAAGCGTGCATGTAGGGGGCGGGAGGGAGAGAATCTTAAGCAGGCTCCATGCCCAACACGGAGCCCAATGCAGGGCTGGATCTCACAACCCTGAAATCATGACCTGAGCCAAAATCAAGAGTCGTGTGTTTAACCGACTGAGCCACCCAGGCATCCCTGGGTTTTCTATATATAAGATCATGTCATCTGCAAATAGTGACAGTTTTGCTTCTTCCTTTCTAATTTGAAATAAAATGCCTTTTATTTCTTTGTCTTGCCTAATTGCTCTGGCTGGGATTTTCATAACTATGTTGAATAAAAGTGGGGATAGTGGGCATCCTTGTCTTGTTTCTGATCTTAGAGGAAAAGCTTTCAGCTTTTTACTCTGAGTATGATGTTAGCTGTGGATTTGTCATATATGGTCTTTATTATGTTGAGGTGTGTTTCCTCTTATCAACTTTGTTGAGTATTTTTACTATGAACAGATGTTGGATTTTGTCAAATGTTTTTCTGTATCTATTGAGATG